GCATTTATGAGAGGAGGTAATTTTGGTGTTATGAAATGCAAGGGGGATAAATAATCCTAGGTCCTAAATTGTGTTGGAAGTCTGTGAATTAATCACTTTTCTTTATTTTCTAGAGTTAATTTCATTTGCAAAATCATTTTCACCTAACTTTATATAGGTCAACTTGATTGAACTTACTCAGTCTTTTGCTTGATTATAGTTTTTAAACAAATCCTCGAAGGAACGATACTTTACTCATTTTATATTACTTGCTATGACCTGTGCAATTGCGGTGAGCAACAATTCACTAACACGAACAACCATTTCAACACAAATATACTCAATCATAGCCCCTTGAGTTATTTCATCACAAAAACATACAATCGGGCTAAGATTCCATAAAATCATTATTCAAGTTATGCATCCAATCCTATGGCAACTCATTTATACATATATACACAATTCTCAATTCAGTGCATTACACAACTCTAAGTATACATGGCTTCACAACTCAAGCCAATCCAGACTCTCTTCCCTTGCCCTGAGCACTTCCCGATCCTATAAACATGTAACCACGAGGGCGAGATAAAAATTTCAATAGCAAAATAACTCACTTCTATTGACTATCACATGCAATAATATGAAAGTAAAGCATATTATACCATTTAAAACTTCATTAAAATAGCATTTCTATCACATATCTCATTTTCATTCCTTTTCACATAACACATATTCATTTTCAACTTTTCACCACTTTTACATAACATTCGTAATATCTCATAACATATCACATATCATCTCAAAACATCTCAAAGCATCATATAGCATGATATAGCATGACCACTACTGGCCGAACCTTTAAATCACCTTGACACGAAACTATAGGCTTACCTTACACTAATATACACTTTCATTAGCCTTGAGCTCACCTGCAGTAATAGAATCATTCGGCCAAAGATGTGCTAATACACATATGGACTATGGTTTTTCTCAATACACACAATGGGGTGTCGTTGATTCCAACACTGTATCACAAAGATACTAAGGAGTCTCTCATCTCTAACACCGCACCTTAATAGGCCCTAAGGAGATCTTCTCTAATACCGTACCTCAATAGGCACTAAGAAGAATTGTTTCCACCACCATACCTTGTCACGTTTTAGGGAAACCTTGCCTTATGGTCTTTATCATCTCCTCTACTCGGGTGAACTCCTACCTCTATGATCATGCTTTTCAAACCATTTGAGGTTCCCATTTACCATTTTTACTCATTTTCTCAAACATAACATATATATACATAATACATTCCATTTGAAATCACACATTTCAATGTTCTATTTCAACCAAAAGCCATTTCACACAACAATCACACAATTTTATAAAACATGCTCAATTTAAAATCATTTTATGTACTACATAGTATACTGACATACAGTTATAATAAACAATCAAACAAATCAACCCTTCTGTTACTAAAAAAGTTACCCATGGATTTTAAAAACCTCTATATCTTATCTTAAGGTTTCTTTCTTTACTCACACATCCAATATGCCAATTTGAACACATTTGGCACATTTTAGTCATTTAGTCCATTTTGACCAAAAACTCATTTTTTTTACTACTTAAGGCTATATTCATCCATAAACTCTTTTCCATTCATCCATTTTAGGTCCATTACTATGCAATTACTACTTTACATCACCTCAACCAATCTCATTTCATAAAAATTAGATTTTTGCCATAAAACTCTCTCTCTCTCTAAGGTCAAATTGAGTCTACGGGTTTAAAGTTCTACTGTTCAACTTTATTCTAGTTACAAAGCTCTAATTTAACTCCCAAGACCCTTTTTATTACTATTGGACAAGAATCAAACCCCTCAAATTTCACTTATTCAATTTTATTATAACTCATTTTCAGAGAAATTTATGTAGAATGGAAGGTAAGAGTTACATATTGCTTACCTGATAAGTTATCAATCTAAATCACCTTCTAATGGCTTGAAACACCTTGTTCTAGCTCCTCAATCCTTCTCCTTTACTACTCTCATGTGTTTCTCAGTTTTACCTCTCTAAAATTTCTAAAATTTCATGACTTATAAAGACAATTTCTAGCCTAAGTGCCGCCACAGTGCAAGCAACATAAGCCATGGTGCGTGGCACAGTGAGATTTATTCTCATTATGTGCACTTGCTTCGACCTGAAACGTACTCTTCTCACCTGTATCTGCTCATACAACACACCAACAAGTTAATTCATCAAGTGATCATCCAAATCTCAATCCTATACTAATTTTCACTTCATCCTCAATTAATCTCTAAACTCAGGATTAAGAAATTCTGGATATTACATCCACCATGGTTGAAGGGCTAATATTAATTTATATCTAAATCCATCCACCTTCGCTTTTAATTTTGTTTACAATTTTTCTTTATTTTTTTGGATTTTTCATTGATAATGTTTTTGGGTTTCGAACATTAGAATTGAGGGGAACTATTAGAGTAATATAAGGCTTAGTCAAAGAAGGGGATTATCATGCTTTCATCAATTTTTGCCTTAAGTATCATGCTTGATCTTTAAGGAAATTTGAAAGTAATCAAAGTTTTCCTAAATATACATTATTCCTTTAATTATCAATTTCTACTCTATTTTGTTTGCTGTGAAGAAGTTGATTCCAAGCAGTAGGGAAGGAGATGATTAGGGAGCATTTTCTTTTTTTTTTCATTTAAGGGGCATTTTGGGCTTTTAATAATTTTGCTTAAATATTGTTGGGTTATCCACCTTGGTGACTCAGGCCCAAACATAAGCATAATTAAGGAATGGAGTTTTGTCACAATTATGAGAAATGTTGGGGCTGAATGTGCAATTCTTTTAGGTCCTCAAATGTAATTTTCTCCCTTTTAACTTTTGAATTAGGGAAGGAACAGTTATCTAATTATATCTCGCACATTCACCATTATGTGCATTATGGATACTGCTTATTAATTAGTAATATAATATTCTGATTTTCTAATCCTGTGATTAGCTACTAGTCAAGGGTAAAGTGGTAATTAGAAAATGATTGGACTTTTAGATGATTTCTTGATAATTTGACTCATTGGGATGTTGAATGGATAGGTATAGGTGAAAGAACTACGTCCCAAAATGAAGCATGTGCACACAATGAGGATTCTAGTCATTGTGCCATGCGCCATGACACAAGGCTGCTTGTGTCATGGCACATGGCACAGAAAATGACTTAATAAGTCATGAATTAGTAGTTAGTTCAAAAGGAAAAATCAAAGAAAAGCATGAAAGGAGAAGAGAGGAAGGGCTTAACTGCTAGGACAAGAGATTTCAAAGCAATAGAAGGCACTTTCGTTCAATAGCTTATCGGGTAAGCTTCATACGACCTTTATTTCCAATTCTACTATAATTTATCTTAGTATGAGTTATAGAGAAATTGAATTGGAGAAATTTTAAGGGTTTGTTTCTTACCCAATAGTAATAAAAAGGTTCTCAGGAGTTAAATTAAAGCCTTGTAATTGGTTTGGAGTTAAACAATAGAGCTCTAAACTCGTAAGCTCAATTTGCCCCTAATTCAATGGAAATTTAGGGGTGGAATTGTGTGTAAGTAGAATGGGATTGTTTGAAGTGACGCAAAGTAGTAAACGAGTGGTAACTAGCTTAAAATGGATAAGCAGAAGTGAATGAATGGCTAATTATAGCATTGAGTAGTAAATAAGTATTTTTGGTCAATTGAGTTAATTGACTAATAATGTTAATTGTGTGTAGATTGGCATAACATACGTATAGAGTATGGAAAAAGGCTTGTAGTGACACGTGAGTGATTGTTGAAATCCGCTAGCAACCTTTTTTGTGACAGAAGGGTTGAGATAACTGAATAACTTCCTTTGTTTGACTATTTATTATAACTATGTGTTAGTATGCTATTTATTGTATGAAATTGTTTTAAGTCAAGCATGTTTTGTGTTATTCTATGATTATGATGTAAAATGAATTTTGGATAAGTAAACAAGTAAAATTGTGTAATTTTATATGTGTGTGTGTGGGGTGATTGAGAACCTATGATTAATTCAAAAAGCATAATCATAGGGTTAGGAGTTCACCCGTGTGGAGTGTAGTAAAAGACCATATGGCATTATCCTCCTTAGCGCCCAACAGGGTGTTGTGTTAGAGAATTGTATTTCCTCAGTACATTTTGAGGTACGGTGTTGAAAATTATCTCCTTAGTGCCTATTAAGGTACAGTGTTAAAGATTTAGGCTCCTTAGTATCAATGTGATGTGGTATTGGCATCAATGACACCCTATTGTGTGTATTCGAGAAAACCATAGTTCAAAAGCGAGATAAAACATCTTTGGTTGGGTGATTCTACCACTAAAAGTGAGCTTAAGACCATTGAGAGTGTATATTGGTCTAAGGCGAACCTATGATTTCAAGTTGAGGTGATTTGGGTTCGGTTGATAGCGATCATGCTGTATCTTAGTAAAGTGGTGAAATGTGGTGACTATAGATTAAAAGTAGTGAGAGGTTATATATTGATGAGATTTAAAGTGAAATGTATATTATACGCCATGTTCAATTGTATATTATGCTATACTTACTTATGGTTGCATTGATAGTCAATAGTAGAGTTATTCTATTATTGAGATTATTATCTCATCCTGTAGTTACATTTTTACAAGTCAGAGCATAATAACCCTAAATTTTAAATTAAGTTAAATTAATTTTTCTCTTTCAATTAAAATTTTACTTAAATTAGTTCTATATAAGGGTGGTGATTTACAGAAACTTATATTAGTAACTTTCTTGAGAATCTAAAATTTGAATTTACTGAGCAAAAATTTGATTTTATTTTTTTATTATTATTTATTATAGAAAGATTTTGTGCCTTTCTTGTAATTTTTCCTTGAGCTTTTTTTGTAATTTTTCTAAATACTTTTTTGGATTAGATTTTATTTCTTCACACGAAAGAAAAGCAGGGCATCCCCATCTTTCTCTTTCACCACCACCGTTACTTTTCTTCATCATCGGTCCTATCCTCTGGCTTTTCTCGTTGCTTTCCTTTGCTTGCCGTCAACCTGTGCCTCTTCGCCACTGTTGGATTCTCCGCTGCTGTGGCTGGCCAATGGAAATGGTGAAGACGTTCGTCCTGCTGTCGTTGTTCTCTGCTGTTTCAGGTCTGTGTGGGTGCGTGTTCAGCCTTTCTATTTCCTTCCGTTCAATAGCTTGAAGTCTGTGTGTGTGCATAGCAAGCTCAAATCATTCTTCTTTCTTTTTCTTCTTTTTGGTCTGTAATTTTTGTTTCTCCTCCTAGTTAAGCAGCCCGTTGGGTTGAAACTTCCCGTTTCTTCTTCAGTGTGGTTCTTGAGCTGAAGGGTGCTAGCTCCACTGCACTTCGGTAGAGGTAAAACATTGATTCTTCCTTCTTCTCCTTCGGTTTCAATTCCAACATGAATTCTCCTTCTTTCTCTAACCGAAGAAATACGTCCCTGTTTCTTTGAGTTGCTGCCATAAATTTTTTTGAATTTGAGTTGTAATTTCAGTTGATGTTGTGCACGATTTTGGTTAACGTTAAGGTGGATGTTAATAATAGAAATAATGTTGGAGGTTGATTAAATGGTTGGATGACTATTATGAGCTTAATTTGGATGCATTTATAGAAATGTTTGAAAGAAAAAACTTATGGAAATAATATTGCTAAATTGATATAATATAATTTGGAGAAGTATATGTTGAGAAGTGTCTTGATCTATTGATTGAAATCTAAAAAAATATTAAATTAGGAGCAAGGATTACATTCAATGTTTGTGTAATACTTTATTAAGTTTAAAAAAAGTATAAAAATAGTTTATATAATTTATTATAATTTATGATTGAGGATGAGTTACAAGGATGCATAAGGATGAATTAAAATTTATCAAATAATTTAATTGACTCTAGTATAATTGAAATTCAAATGAAGATAGTGCCATATTAATTATTGCTTGCAAATTAATTGTTGACATATTGTGAAGTATGAAATTGCATATGATTTGGTTTAGATTATATTTTAAGGTATTTGAACATAGGATTTGGTGAAAATATAGACTAATTATTTTCCATGATAGGACCTAGAGGAATTATAAATGCTACTTGATGAAATATATGTCTTTACATACAAATTGAATTACTCATTAGAATCATGTAGCACCTGAAGAGAAATTATTAGACTAAATGATAATTAGAATTTTGTTAAGCTTGAAATAAGAGTTGTGTTGATGGTTGTGGTTGAATGTTGTCTAGTGTTGTTGATTACTTGATAGAAGTTATTGAAGGGTTTAGTAAAAATTTAAGGGGTTAATGAGAAATTTAAATGATTATCAAAGATTTTGAATGTTAGTTTTTCTTATTTATCATAAGAAGGGAAATTCATAATAATAAAAGGATTGTTGGATTATATGTTAGATTATTTGGAGAATCACATAAATAAGTGAGAACTTAAGGGGGTCAAATTTTAGAATTCTTGAAAACTTTCATGTGAGTGGGTGGCGTTCCAAATATATTTTGGATAAAGTATTTATAAAAATTTTTTATTTAAATATTATTATTATTGCTTTATAAACTATTTACATATTCTTGTTAATCCTATTTCCATATTAATAGTATAATTTCTGATAAGCAGCTTAATTTTTTAATTCTATGATAATATAAAATTTTTATTGCAATGATTTGTGTATGGAGAAAATGATAATAATTTTGGGTGATGAAAAATAATAGTTGAATAATATTTAAAAGTGATAATTTTGAAACTATTTTTCTTTCTCTATACACACTTTATTTTAATGAGGGGGACTAAATTCAAAACGTTAGATGCTAAAGGCAGTTCCGTTAACTCTTGGCACCCTATGGTACACCTAGCTAGCAGGATGCTTATGGGAAGTACTAGCCTCGTGTGCAAGCCAACGCACGTGGAATGGAGGGATAATTATTTATGAGCATCGTATTCATGCTTGTTCATAAGCCTCATGCCTATGCTTGACTTGTGGCTCCAGTCACGCTTGTTTCTTGGCTTTTAGCCATGCTTGATTAGTTACTTACCCTCGTGGACTATGTATTGACACTTGTTATTCGTCCTAATAAAGCCTTTCTAGATCTAAACTTAAAATTCATTATTTTTATATTATTTCTTCAAAAGCATTCTATCTAGTCATACTGTTGCTTGAATTTTTTATATTCTATGAACATTATAAATTTTAATAAATTATTTTATCCTATTAACATTGTTCAAATTCATGATTGTATCATTGAGAAAACTTGTTTTTTATTATTAGTTGAAGTTCATGTTGCATTGTTTTAAAATTTTTAAATTAAATTTATTCATTAATGTCATCATATATTTATATGCATATATAATTGGAACGCTACTTATTGGTAATTTTTTGATCTCAGATAGTGTAGCTAACTCTACGCCTTCAGCAGGTTATTGAGAGGCCCTTTTTCCTTTTGGAAAAAGAGGAGGCATATTGCAATTATTGTTTTGGTCAAACTATGTGTTGTATTTTGTAATTATAACTTAGTGCTCTATGTACACTATAATTAGGTCCTAGTCTTATTTTGTTATCATGTAAATTGTTGGAAAGGAGCTAGTTTTCTTGCTAATTTGTTTGGCAAGTTCTGTTGTTGTGAAAATTTCGAGAAGTCTAAATTATAGGGGAGACTCTGTTGAAATTTCTACAAAACATTTAAAACTTTACAAATTTTATTATTATATTTAACTTAAATATATCAATATTTTCACTTAGTTCCTAATCAATCAAGGCTTATGAAATATGATTTCATCTCATATTTTATGTCAATCACACTCTTAGTATTGGGGAGTGACACAGAGCAGTGAGCCAAGCAAGGAAAAAGAGTCAGGACCAGCTTAGAGTTGTTAAAGCTATGTGAACTTAGAGTTTGTGTAATGAATTGAAACTTTTGTAGAAACATGTAAATAAGTTCTCATAGAAAATGCATGCATGTTTTGAATTGTGAATTGTAGGAAAATTGTAGTGAATTCATGAATCTTAACCTATATGTGGAAATATATGGTGAAATAATTAGCAAAGGCTAAGATTTAGTTCTAAATATGTTGTGAATATGTAAAGTGGTGACTTGTGGTGATATTATAATGAAAATGGCCAAGTTGATCTGTTTGTGCTGAGATGTGAGTAGTTGTAAAAAATTGGTGTTTCATGTAAATGGGTTGTTGAATTGCCAGATTTTGATACGTGTATATATATGTGATATATTATAGTCAACCAGATGTAATAGGTCCTTTTGGACTTGGTTCAAGGGCTAGAATGATCTAATGAGATTAAGGGATCAATTTGAGCACTTGGGTGCATTAATTTCTTTGAAAAAGTAACTTTTTATACTTGGGTATTTAAATTTTGATTGGACCATCAGATCATGTTCAAATCTATCTCATTAGTTAGCTTATGAGCTAAGCTTCGTGTTGACGCTTGAATCACTCTGATCGGATGTCATATGTGAAAACATTGCACGTCGAAAGTTCATCATTTGTACTATCAAATGACAGCTGTAGAATTAGGCTTGTGAGTTGCAGCACATGGCATATCATGCTACAGTGCATTGTACAGAAAAGGTCAAGGTTTGTGACTCTGTGTCACATGCTGCAACGCATGTATTGCTCGCCATAGTGCATGGCTCATAATTTGATATGATTTTATTGTTTTTAATACATGTAATAACTATTATGAATGCATATGACTTGTTTCCACTGTGTATGGTTCTGTTATATTAAGATCTTGATATTTTTGCAAAACAAATTTTGGACCCAAGCTTTTCAAAATAATTGATTGATTATGATTTGGCTTAGTATGGTAGTGATTAAGTTAATCTTTTTCTATATCTAGTGGATATAGGGGAAGATTACAAGCAGTCCTCTCATTTTAGAACAAAATATAGGTTTTGAGATTTGCTCTCTAGTTTCCTCCATTCTCTCTCTCTCTCTCTCTCTCTCTCTCTGTGTGTGTTATTTGTTGTAAAAACCAAGAACCAAGTTCTGTCACATAACTTCATTCCCACATATGACATTCATTCAATATATCATCTAAGGTTAGTTTTCTCCTCCAAATTCTTATAAATATAAAATATATTTTCCCATATTATTAATAATCAACTAATCATAGTGGTGATAAAGAACATTGCATTGCACCTTATTGATTGCACTACATTACAATACTAAAAAAGTCTACAATTGAACCAAATGAGCCCTTAATGATGGAATTAGTAATAAATTAATGACAAATTAATGACAGAACTTAGTCTATCACTATTCATAATATCTTAAATTTTTAATCTAGAATTTATAAACTAGTTATGGATAAAATATTAAATTAGAGTTTTAATTAAGTTAATTGTGTTTTAGGATTACTAATGAACTTTTTAGGGTTATTGGACGGCCTTGGAATTGAGTTAGCTTAGTAATTGGAGAACCAAGAAGATAGAGAGCCAATGAAGAACGATCAAAGCACTCATAGAATAGGAGCATAGTCAAGATAACAAGGAAGGAGGAAGTAGTCTAATAGGCTTTCAAATCTACCTCTATCGGTTGATTCAAATATTTTATGATTGATTCCAATTCTTACTTTCTAAGTAAGTTTAATGTATAACATACAAAGACAATCAATTTTGGGGCATTGCAAGCTTGAGTCATGGTCATGTTTAAATGTTGAAAGCAATCCTTTAACTATCACTAGAGAAATTTCAGTCATGAGATTGTTTTCCTTAACAAAAGTATGGATAATCTATTCTGCTTAAAAATTTAGTAGTGCTATAATGGATTTTGTATGCATATATGCTATAGAATGGATAGATGGGGAGTTTGGTAGGGGATGCTCTCTGGTTTAATTTTGTATGTGCACATGCTAAATGAGTGCTTGATCTAGCTTGGTGATTTATGCGTGTTTAAAGCCATTTAAATACTTCAAGATGGATTGGCAGTCTATGACTTCCTTTGATAAATTTATTCCTCTCAAAAATTATGATCTCATGATTGTCCTGCTTGCCATTACGAGAGATGTCCAAATTAAGGTATTTGAAGATATATTAGTAAATATAAGAGCATGCAATTTGGTTTGAAGATTGCACATAAAGGTTGTGGTCTGAATCTTTTTTTTTTCTTTCTAAGATTTTATGGCGGGCATAAGTTAGTATGGGTCATTGACTAATTATTTATAAAATACCTTGTGCAATTTTGCATCCCTTAATGATTAAAGGATATAGTTTTATTTAAGTTTTGAGATTCTTGACACTTGAAAATTAATCACTAAGCATGCCTAATAGCTTTGAAAACTTTCTAAGCTCTACATCTTTTGTTGTTTGTTTTAAATATTTATTTATGAAGAGTATTTGTAAAGTAGGCTTGTCATGGCTTGTTTTTTAAATGGGCTTGGCCCAATAGAAAATCATGGTCCAGATCGGCATGTTTAAAAGTTATCCAACTCAAACAAAACGATTAAGTAGTTATAGTCGAATAACCTATAACAATTATCCAAAATAAAATTTATAAAGGTCCCTAGGTCATGGCAACTATAATTACAAAATAAACAGAAAACCACGTGCCAAGCTGAGAGAAGGGAGCCTAATGTCACAACCTATGTTTAGATATAAGGGAACCTACAAGGTTGTGGAATTTTAGGAGAACTCCAGGATAATGGACAGAATTCTAAAGCTTTCAAGGAAGATCCAGTATGTTCTAAAATGTTCTAGAAGCATCTAGAACAATCTAAAATTATCTAGAGAAATCTAGAAACATCTAGAAGTTTCTAGAAGGTTCTAGAAACTTACGAAGGAATGCGGCTATATTTAGAATATTTTAGGATATTTTAGGATGTTTTAAAATATTTCCCACATATATGAAGAATAGTCTCTAGAAATTTCTTTATAAATATCTAGATATTTGTTGTAGATATTTTCATGGAATACTCTAGAGGATGAATGTAATTTATAAGATTAGATTGATCTTCATCGTCCATTAAGGAGGTGAGAATTTTTTAGAGAAAGGGGGAGGCTTATAGATACCCCACAACCCCTCATTTGTAAACAACAAGAAAAGCAAGCAAAGCTTTTAAGTTCTTTCATCCAAGCTCTCTTTTCTCTTGTGTTCAAGTTTCCTAGTTTCTTTGCCTATATCCTAAGGGTTCGACCGACTTAGCAAAGATCAAGAGGTTGATCACACTAAAGCCGGCACGGTTCAAAGATTGGGGAGTCCCAAGGCCGTGACACTAAGCTCACTTCTTCGATACCTTCCTTGCAGCTCCACTTGACTGCTCACTTAAAAATGATAAGAAGTAACATGTGAGATCAAAATCTCAGCAACAGTTGGTTATTCTAACATATACCAGCATACTTCTTGAAATCAATTTGCAAACATATCATAGATGTACATATGTATTTCACAATCAATACACAAAACAAAAAATGCAATATTCACAATCATATAACAATTTTTAAATCAATATCAAATTAAAACAACAGTGATGCATTTCCCAACCTCACCCTTATGGCTTCCAACTCCCTTATTACTACTAGTTGGAGTCTAAACTGAGGTTATACCTGATCAAAGGTACATTTCCATCAAAATATGACTCCCCTCCTTAAAAAGGAGGTGCCCATCGTCCCAAAATGTCAAAAATATTGGGAACTACAAGAAAAAGCCAACAATTATGCATGTAGAGGAGGCAAACCATGTGGCATAAATATTCGATCATCAACCCTAAATAAACAATCATATTACTAGCCATCTTTATTACCTCTTTTGCATTATATAAAACAAATGTTACATTCCACAATAAGATAATATAAGTATTAATATATATTTATATGTATATATATATATATATAATAAAACCAATATCTCGATATATGAAAGGCTATTCCAATGTTACCCTCTTTCCAAGCTATAACTAATTCAGATGTGTAGGGAACTTCTTAGCCACAATAACAAATTAATTTACGATATTGAATAATATAAATACCATTAGATATATATAGTAATTTATCAATTAAATATAAAAATTCAACTAAACTTTTTAAATTTACAACCATATCCTTTCAATATAAATTCCTCTGATAAAATTCCAAAATTTACTTAAATTAACTTATCTAAATCCCAAAAACACAATTTAATTAATATAGATATCCTATACATCATAAATCACAAATTTTATAGTTAAGAACTTAATTTTAAGCTCTCAATTAGTTAATAGAACAAATCTAAATCGATAGAATTCAAGTACTAATTTTTCTCTACTAATTAATAGTTTTCATTGTTAAAAGTCAATACTTACTCTAAGTTCAAACTTTAAAATTTCCTCCATTCATCAAAATTTTACTATTACTAGAAAGCTCTAAATGAGCAAAAAAATATTTATAAAAAAAGTTTTGAAAATAGAAATAGTTTTAAGCATGAAATATTCCATCAAATTTTTTTTAATCCTTTGTCTTCTCCTTCCCCTTTTCTCTATTTCTCTCTTGCTCTCTCTTTTGCTCTCTCTTGCGTGTGTGTTTGTAAGGAAAGGTAAAAATCACAATTAATATAATCCCTTTCCACCGCCTTGCCTTCATAATTATTGTTCTAATATATTTTGTTGGTTTGTTTTCCTAATACCACTTC